AGGGACAGCCCTGCCGGCGGCGGCTGCCCAGGCTCCGGACTCTGGGAGAAGGAGCGAGAAGTAGGAGCTGGAGGCGGAGGAGAAGGAAAAGAAGACGGAAAGGAAGGAGCAGAGGAGGCGCGGAGGGGCGGAGGCGCCCCGGGCGGCGGAGACGCGGCATGTCCCCGGCAGGGGAGAGCGGGCTGTCCGCGGCAGCGCCATGGGGACCCGCGCGCTGACAATGCCGGGGTGACAGGAGCAGCGCAGCCACCCCGCCACCTCCACCGCCACCTCCTGCCCTCAGCCTCAGCACCGGCCACCAGCAGCACCAGCCTCGTCCGCCTGTCCCTGTCCCTCCGTCTGTCCGTCTCTCTCTCTCTCTCTCTCTCTCTCTCTGTCTCTCTCTCTCTCTGCATTATTGTGTCCCACTCTACAGACGATGGGGTCGGCTGATGATTAGGTCGGAAGCAAGTCAAATCTTCCTCCAAAGCCTGGTAATATTTATGTAGGCAAAAGAGAGAGAGAGAGAGAGAAAAGAGAGGGACAGAGAGAGAGAGAGAGGGAGAGAGAGAGAGGAACTGGAGGAGGGGATAAGGAAACTAAACCCTTTAAGTCAATGCATATTGTGGTGACACCGGCACAGGAGCCCTCACGGTGGAGTCGGCCAGGGCTGTGCGTTCCCAAAATATGACCAGGGGTGCCTGGATGTGTCGGCAGTATGACGACGGCTTAAAAATCTGGTTGGCAGCACCCCGGGAGAACGAGAAACCGTTCATCGACTCAGAGAGGGCTCAGAAATGGCGACTGTCTTTGGCATCTCTCTTGTTTTTCACAGTCCTGCTCTCTGATCACTTGTGGTTCTGCGCCGAGGCCAAACTGACCCGGACCCGGGACAAGGAGCATCAGCAGCATCATCAGCAGCAGCAGCGACAGCAGCAGCAGCAGCGACAGCGGCAGCAGCAGCAGCAGCAGCAGCAACAGCAGCAGCAGCAGCAGCGCCAGCGGCAGCAGGAGCCCTCCTGGCCCGCGCTCCTGGCGAGCATGGGGGCGTCCTCGCCCGCCGCCCAGGCACACAGACTCCTCTCCGCCCCGTCGTCGCCCACCCTGCCTCCCTCCCCGGGAGACGGCGGCGGCGGCGGCGGCAAGGGCCCCCGAGGCAAAAATAACCGGAGCAAGGCTCCTTTTCTAGGAAACTCTGCCAAACCCCTGTGGCGCCTGGAGACGTGCTACCCCCAGGGCTCGTCCTCGGGCCAGTGCTTCACGGTGGACGACGCGGACGCCGTGTGCGCCAGGAACTGGAGTCGGGGGGCGGCGGCCGCGGGCCAGGGGCAGGCGGCGGGGGGCCGGCGTCCAACTCCGCTCTGGAACTTGTCGGATTTTTACCTTTCGTTTTGTAATTCCTACACACTTTGGGAGTTGTTCTCGGGATTGTCCAGTCCCAACACTTTGAACTGTAGTCTGGATGTGGTGCTCAAGGAGGGTGAAGAGATGACTACCTGCAGGCAGTGCGTCGAGGCTTACCAAGACTACGACCATCACGCTCAGGAGAAATACGAAGAGTTTGAAAGTGTGCTCCATAAGTACTTGCAGTCGGAGGAGTACTCGGTGAAATCGTGTCCTGAGGACTGCAAGGTAGGAACAGCGGATGCGCACCCTCTTCCTGCGCTTTTCTATCTCGTGGCTCGGCTGAGATGTCTTTTGGAGTTTTAAAATACGTGCACACACACGCACACACACACACACGCGCGCGCGCGCACACACACACACACACACACGTATATATATTTGGCTCTGGTTTTGTGACTGCAATAGTTGTTTGGGGGTTAGGAAAGCTTGACTTGCTGCTTGTGTAGGCAATCCCGGTGGATTGCTGGTGGACTGATGGCTTCTTCTGGGAATCCTTGGAAAATCAGGGCAATCCCCTGTCTTCTGAAATGATGAATCTGGTGTTTTAACTACTTCTTACAGCTATGCAATTGGCTCAAACTCTGTTACAAACCTTTTAAAAATGGAATTTGATTTAGGTTTGTCAGGAAGATAGCAATGGGACTGCATTGTGGTGACCACAGGTCAAGTCAGAAGAGCCAGAGATAGGTGCGCATGGTTTGGTATGTGGACCCGCACACATGAACACTAGATAGTTATATGGTTAAGTTGATTGGCCAGAGGGACAAGAGAAAGCATTTGTAGTTGTTTATGTAGAAAACGAAAATACCTGTTTTTACAGGGGTAGTTCTGGTTGTTTGGAAAGTCTGAGGGCCTACCTGAGCATATTTACTCTCCTTAAATTGCCTGCTTTCTCTTGGACGTTTGTATAATTATTGATCTGAGACTCAATATAAGGAGACTCAATATAAGTGGGACGTTGTAATTAGGTATCTAGTGATATATTAGCAATGTTAGATTATTTATCAGACACCTTATATAATTAGCTTGGATTTTCAATATGCTCTTTAGAAGTACTGAATGGCAAATCCTTGATGTTATGAATTAAAATGTACTGAAATCTTTAATAACATGTTATATTCAAGCCCTCCCTGCTGAATATAATATACAATATAATCCTTGCTGATTGTCAAAGGAGAAGTCTGTGCAAGTTTCCTTTGAATTGGTCAGTACAACTATGGGCACATGTCCGAGTATGAGTGGTACTGTCCGTGGTGCTGAAACGGGATTTGCTCAAGACGTCTGTTGAAGATGAAGATACTGCAGTGACCTTTAGTAAGGAAGAAATGATGGCAGAATCTCTATAAACCTCAATGTTCTGTTCCAACGCTAATTTATTAATCAACAAAATAAGATAGCATTGCTTTTCAAAACAAATACTACACCTACTCCCCTGACCCACACACAGAACAACTGTCCCTCTTTGACTCACTTGCGTTGTACTGGGAAAGTGCAGTCAAGTGTGGTATAGATCAAAGGATTTTGTGATGCTTTGGTAAAAGAGCTGGACTAAGGGATTCCTATTTTAAATGAACATAGTTCAAGGGTTGTGTTTTACTTTGGACTGATTAGTTGTGCTTATGGCAATAAAGCTAATCTCAAACTGACCACACTTTATCAGCAGTCTTTGAGACCAGAAACATAGATCTTTGAAAATAATAATTCTGAATTTATGACATTAGTTTAGGGTTCTATTTCACTAGGTAAGTGGATCTTAAACTTTCCTACTTATTATTCTTTTTTTAAAAAAACTCATACCACTATAACTCACGCCTGAGAATTAATCTTAGTGGTAAAAATTAATGATGAATGACTAATGTATTTATTGCATAGTTATTTCTTTTGACCAAAATTTTGCAATGGAACTGTAAAGATAGGGAAACTGGTGTCTGCTAATTTTACTACTATTCAAAAGTTTGTAGACATTTCAGTATATTTATGTTCAGGAGTGGTACCTTGTAATAATTTAAATTTGACTCCTTCCCTAAGTGTAAGCCCTTGTGGAGCTTCCCTAAGTGTAAGCCCTCATGGAAATTTTTAGTAATTCTAATTTGCATAGCTCAGTATTTCAAAGATAGTCTGTGTTGTCAGTAAATTACAGCATATTTTTTTTAAAAGCATGTCAAATATATCTTTGTTCAAATGTCCACATCAATATATCAAATATTTTCTTTCCTGTTGACCTGAATTAATTCTTAACTGTACATTTACATTGTCCCAGTTATAAGGTATACTGTAAGTTAAACTCATCTTATGTTATGGCCTACTTCTGGATTATATATTTGTATAAAGTAGGAAGTGCTAACTGTCTATACAAAAGGACATTATAAAAATCTTAACTTATTTTGAAAAATTCTTCACATTGAAAATAAGCATAAACATTTGAGTTTCTCATCACCATGGCTCAGAATTTAGTACCTGTGATATCTTGTAGATATTTCTTGGTTGTAGGATTTTTTGTTGTCATCTGTCAATTTGAAACATTTATTTATAATAGCTGTTTTCAAAAATTACAGTTTCAAATTCAAAGGGCTGGTGTTCTTGTTTTAAGACTCACAAATCAATTGGTTGCATGTAGAAATGTATACAAGCATAGTCTTTAGTTTAATATATAATTTCTTTATGATTTTGAAAAAGCCACAAACATAACCAGATATAAACTGTATCACATGGCTTAAAACGTTACTTCTTGTCTTTGATGTATGTGTCTTGGTTTTTATCTGAACACTTTTACTTATTTCAAATATACTTATACTTATGAAATGACTGTCATCAGGTGTCTTGTTCAAGATATCAGTTCTATGCAGAATTTTCCATTTTTGAAGGCATCTTCAAAGTCATAGGCTACATTAAAANATAGTCTTTAGTTTAATATATAATTTCTTTATGATTTTGAAAAAGCCACAAACATAACCAGATATAAACTGTATCACATGGCTTAAAACGTTACTTCTTGTCTTTGATGTATGTGTCTGGGTTTTTATCTGAACACTTTTACTTATTTCAAACATACTTATACTTATGAAATGACTGTCATCAGGTGCCTTGTTCAAGATACCAGTTCTATGCAGAATTTTCCATTTTTGAAGGCATCTTCAAAGTCATAGGCTACATTAAAAGTAAATGCATTATATTTCAGTAATTGGTAATATAATCACAAAAATCCAATTTTAATAGTTAATTAACATTAACATGTTTTCTAAAATTGTAAACAGGAGAATACATAAAATCGTGTTACTAATACAAATTATTTCAGTTCATATTTTAGGAGAAATATATTAAATTTATTATACCCATATATAATTAAATAATGCAGTGATTAACTTCTTAGAATTAGGATGCATTATTACTTTCTAGTTTTATTTACTCCCCTCATTAAATAATTGCTACATTTAATATATGTATAAAATAAAATGGATTAAATTAACTTTGATTTAAGTTTTTAAAATTTTTTTAAAAAATTGACCAATTATTTCAAATAAAACTTTTTAAATAGAACTAGTAAAATCATAGTGTATTGAATTCACAGTAATTGGAGATCAAATACAGCTTGTATTTACTTTGGTAAACCTTTGTCTTGCAACGTATCGTAGAAATCATTTGCACCCAACAATATTTTTTAATATTCTAAGAAACAACTGGCTTAATTTTTTTAAAAAGTAAATGCATACATTTATCTGGGCTGTAATTTACAGTGAATTAAAGAATAAGAACTGTCGCATATATCATTCATACTATAGCATTTAAGCTGCTATATTACATAAATTGAGTAGCAAAAATTATGGCACTGATTTTCCTCTATAGTTTGCAGTATTATTCAAAACAAGTTTTTGTTATGTAAAAGAATCTGACAAATCTGTCAAAATCTTCAAGTTTGCTGGCAATATTAAAAAATGAAATATTTTAAGCTACAAAATTACAAATTTATATTATAAACATGCTTGATTTTTACTTAAA